TGTTTGAGTTTGATGAATAAGTAGGAAACATTCCCGTTCTCGTTCATCATTAAAACTTCGTTCTTGAAATTCTTCGTCATGAACAACACTTGTAAAATGCTATTCATGTAGCAAGTGTTTCCTAAATTATCCAATCCAATTTTCTTCTCTAGATTTTCAGGACAAATATCTACTGATTCGTAAGAACTTTAATTATATCGGAATAATTGGACTCCGAATAGTAATTGTTTGCTCCCTTTATATTTTCAGGTTGCTCAAGTGGATGCAATATTTTTTCAATTCATAATGTAGTTTGTCACCCTGGCAGGGCGAACTTTGAACTCTGATTATTGCATTTAGCCAGGTGGCGCCCATTACATAATTTTGTACTGTTCTCAGTCAGATGTACACTGAAATGCCTTCGACCTTAATTTTTGCTCACCAAGACGAACAGCTGCCGGAGCTGCACTTTATTTCCAACTGAGAGGAATAAACGTTGCAGTATTGAAAATTTTGTTTGTGTCATTTTTGCTTTTCAAGGGATGAACAAACGAAGACTTCTTCTGAAAGACTATTTTGGAAGACTTCGTAAATTCACAATTTTTTAATTGACTCATTAACATAATTAGAACGCATTAACATTTCCAATTATTATCGGTTTTTGCTTTTTCTTTCGATACGTAAAAGAAATATCAACAGACCAAAGAGAAACATTCGGAAAAATCGCGAAAAATTATTTCTTTCAACAGCAAAAGCTTGTTTGCCTTATTTCAAATATAACGACACTTATTCAATTATTGCCCTAATTGATAAAAATAATTTGAAATACCAATTCATTCCTCCTCTTCGTTAATCTCATTGCAATGACTGAACCTTTGAACTCCAATTATGATATCAGTCATTTGTGAGGAGAAAAATAGCTTGAAAAGTGGACGGCCGAATTTTTTTTTTTTTTTCGAGTAACAACCTCACCCCTCACTACCAACGGAAATTCCTCACATTTTGAAAATAGGTTGTCTATTCACCTACTATAAGTAGGTAGATTGAAAATCAATCACGATCTAGCCAAATTTGATATTATGGATTCTGATAAATACTCCTGTAATAACTCATTAATTTGATTTCGTGTATTTGATGATGAAGTGATCATTAGTTGGAAATTTAAATCACATCTTTTCTGATTTACAATGATTCAATGTACACGTCAGACTGTCTTATTTATATTTTTCATTATTCTCATTTTTAAGATCAAAACTTCAACACACAACTTGAAGTTCATTGAATTGATTTTATATTTTCATGTTGCTCAAGTGAATGCAATATTTTTTTTATTCATAATGTAGTTTGTCACCCTGGCAGGGCGAACTTTGAACTCTGATTATTACATTTAGCCAGGTGGCGCCCATTACATAATTTTGTACTGTTCTCAGTCAGATGTACACTGAAATGCCTTCGACCTTAATTTTTGCTCACCAAGACGAACAGCTGCCGGAACTACACTTTATTTCCAACTGAGAGGAATGAACGTTGCAAAGCTTGATGCCAAACAATTGTTGGACTACAACAAGCCTTCATACAGGTCACTGTCATATGAACATTATATGCAGAGACTTGGACTACCAGAAGACAGTGTATGTCGCCTCTGTTTGGAAAATGATGAAACTGCAGAGCACATACTTTGTGCCTGCCCCGATTCATGTTTTTAGAGTTCGGCAGAGCCGTACTCTTACCATCTGACCTGAAAGACAACTCATCATACAAACTAATCGGCTTCGTTAAGAAACTGGGTTTATTGGGAGTGTGAAAATATGTGAGCCACAATGAACCCTTGCGGGTTGCAGTGGAGGGTCGAATAGACCCACTCACTTTGGACCTAACCCAACCTAGTTTGAATATGTGCAAGTATGGCTGTACGAAAAAGTTGAATAGATACAAAATACCCACACTTAGAAGCGTTCCTGTTTATACATGTGTAGAAGTCCCGAATTTTGAATATTGTTACCTATGTAC